TTATCTTTCTTCCGTCTATCCATTATCTTTCTATCACGTCTATCGCATTAATCATTCTATCCGTCTATCCATTATCTTTTAATCCGTCTATCCATTATCTTCTATCCGTCTATCATTATCATTCTATCCGTTCTATCCATATCTTTCTATCCGTATCCATTATCATTCTATCCGTATCTTATCTTTCTATCCGTCTATCCATTATCTTCTATCGTCTATCCATTATCTTTTCTATCCGCTCCTATCCATTATCTTTCTATCCGTCTATCCATTATCATTCTATCCGTCTATCCATTATCATCTCTATCCGTCTATCCATTATCATTTATCCATCTATCATTATCCTTCTATCCGTCTATCCATTATCTTTCTATCCGTCTATCCATTATCATTCTATCCGTCTATCCATTATCTTTCTAATCTATCCACATTTCTTTCTATCCGTATCCATTATCATTCTATCCGTCTATCCATTATCTTTCTATCCGTCTATCCATTATCTTTCTATCCGTCTATTCATTATCTTTCTATCCGTCTATCCATTCTTTTCTATCCGTCTATCCATTATCATTCTATCTCTATCCATTATCTTTCTATCCGTCTATCCATGAATCTCTTTATCCGTCTATCCATTATCTTTCTATCCGTCTATCCATTATCATTCTATCCGTCTATCCATTATCCTTCTATCCGTCTATCCATTATCCTATCCGTCTATCCATTATCCATTCTATCCGTCTATCCATTTCATTCTATCGTCTATCCATTATTCTTTATCTCTATCCATTATCCTTCTATCCGTCTATCCATTATCCTATCCGTCTATCCATTATCTTTCTTATCCGTCTATTCATTATCTTTCTATCCGTCTTCCATTATCTTCTATCCGTCTATCCATGAATCTTTCTATCCGTCTATCCATTATCTTTCTATCCGTCTATCCATTATCTTTCTATCCGTCTATCCATTATCTTTCTATCCGTCTATCCATGAATCTCTTTATCCGTCTATCCATTATCTTTCGTCTATCCATTATCATTCTATCCGTCTATCCATTATCTTCTATCCGTCTATCCATTATGCCTATCCGTCTATCCATTTATCTCTATCCGTTTATCATTCTATCCGTCTATCCATTATCCTATCGTCTATCCATTATCCTAATCCGTCTATCCTTATCTTTTCTATCCGTCTATCATTATCTTCTATCCGTCTATCCATTATCCTTCTATCCGTCTATCCATGAATCTCTTTATCGTCTATCCATTATCTTTCTTATCCGTCTATCCATTATCTTTCTATCCGTCTATATTATCTTCTCTATCCGTCTATCCATTATCTTTCTATCCGTCTATCATTATCTTTCTATCCGTCTATCCATTCATATCCTTCTATCCGTCTATCCATTATCCTTCTATCCGTCTATCCATTATCATTCTATCCGTCTATCCATTATCCTTCTATCCGTCTATCCATTATCTTTCTATCCGTCTATTCATTATCTTTCTTATCCGTCTATCCATTATCCCTTCTATCCGTCTATCCATGAATCTCTTTATCCGTCTATCCATTATCTTTCTATCCGTCTATCCATTATCATTCTATCCGTCTGTCCATTATCTTTCTATCCGTCTATCCATCCTATCGCCTATCCATTATCCTTCTATCCTTCTATCCATTATCATTCTCTCCGTCTATCCATTATCCTTCTATCCGTCTATCCATTATCATTCTATCCGTCTATCCATTATCATTCTATCCGTCTATCCATTATCCTTCTATTCGTCTATCCATTATCCTTCTATCCGTCTACCCATGAATCTCTCTATCCGTCTATCCATTATCTTTCTATCCGTCTATCCATTATCATTCTATCCGTCGTCCATTAATCTTTTCTATCCGTCTATCCATTATCTATCCGTCTATCCATTATCCTTCTATCCGTCTATCCATTATCATTCTCTCCGTCTATCCATTATCATTCTAATCCGTCTATCCATTATCATTCTATCCGTCTATCCCATTATCATTCTATCCGTCTATCCATTATCATCTATCCGTCTATCCATTATCTTTCTATCCGTCTATCCATTATCTTCTATCGTCTATCCATTATCATTCTATCCGTCTATCCATTATCTTCTATACGTCTATCCATCTATTCGTTATTCAACTATGTATTCGTATATCCAACTATCTGTCTATCCATCTATTTGTGTATCCAACTATCTATTTATTCGTCTATCCATCTATCCGTCTATCCATCTATTCATCTATCTATATATCCGTCTATCCAGCTATCCATCTATTCGTCTATATGTCTATCCGTTTATCCATATATCCGTCTATCCACATCTCCATCTATCCATTTGTCCATCTATCCATCTATACATGTATCCGTTTATCCATCAATCCGTCTCTCCATCTATCCATTTATCCGTCTATCCATGTATCCGTTTATCCATCAATCCGTCTATCCATTCATTCATATATATCTCATCTCTCTCCCTCTCCCTCTTTCGTTCTTCCTCTTTCACTAAACCGGTCTCTTTTTTACCTGATTCGTTTTTCTATCCATCTATCTACCTATTATTCTATTCTACCTATCCATTTATCAAATAATTCTCTCTTTTTTTTTTTTTTTTTTTACTCTCCTCAACCACTTTTACCTTTTTCTTTAACGTCCCCCACTTTCTTCTCTTCACAGTCTCACAAGCTCCTTCTCCCTCACTAATAAACCTCATTTCCCCCTCATTACTATTACCATTTCCACCACTCCCCCCCTTCTTCCCCATTTTCTGAAATCTCTTTTTTTTTCCTCCATCCCTCTCTTCCCTCCTTCGGACTTCTTCCTCCTTACTTCCGCATCCCCATTCCCCTCCCACCTCCTCCAACCCCATTCCCCACCCCCCACCCCTACCCCCTTCACCCCACCTCCTCCACAAATAGATGGATAGACCATCCCCCTTCACCCCCATCCCACCCTCCCCAACCCCCCCCTCCCCCTCGCCACCACCTACCCTCCACCCACCCTCCACCCACCCCATCCACCCCCACTCCCCCAGCCACCTCACCATCCACCCCTTTCCCCCCTCCATTCCTCCCCTCCCCCCATCCCCCCCACCCCCCATCCACCTCCACCCATCCTCCCTCCCCCACCCTCCCCGCCCCATCCACTTCTCCCCCTCCACTCACCGAGAACTGCCTGTAGAGCCGCTCGGCAGGAACAGCCCTTCATCTCCATCCCTTTTCCCCAACCCCACCACCCCCTCCCCTACCCACCCCTCCTCCCCTATTCCCCTCCCCCACTCCCCCCAACCTCCCCCTACCCTCTTCCCCATCCCCTTCCCCCCACCTCCCCCACTCCACATCCACCCTCCTCCTACCCCACCCATTCCCATCCTCCATCCACCCTCCACCCACCCCCATCCCCACCCATCCACCCCTAACCACCCACATCCCCCTCCACCCCTCCACCCACCACCCCCTCCCCATCCCCCACCACCCCATCCCTCCACTCACCGAGAACTGCCTGTAGAGCTGCTCGGGCAGGAACAGCCTTCATCCCCATCCCTCTTCCCCCACCCCCACCACCCCAATCCCCCACCCCCATCCACCACCCCATCCCCTCACCCTCACCCCTCATACCCCTATTCCCCATCCCTCTTCCCCCAACCCTCCCCACCCACCCTCCACCCCCATCCCCACCCCATCCACCCTATCACACCCACCCTCCCCCAACCTACCCCCCTTCCACCCGACCCATCCCATCCCCCCATCCTCCCCACTCCTCCATCCTCCTCCCCCATCCATCCCCTCCACTCACCGAGAACTGCCTGTAGAGCCGCTCGGGCAGGAACAGCCCTTCATCCCATCCCTCTTCCCCCACTACCCTCCCCCATCCACCCCACCCCCATCCACCCACCCCATCCCCTCACCCTCACCCCTCATACCCCTATCCCCATCCCTCTTCCCAACCCTCCCCACCCACCCCTTTATCCCCACCACCCCCTCCCCATCCACACCCATCCCCCCTCCACTCACCGAGAACTGCCTGTAGAGCCGCTCGGGCAGGAACAGCCTGTAAGGGTGCTTGATGCTCGCCCCGGCCTTGAACCCGAAGGCCGGGAACCCGTCGAATCCCGTGACGAAGTACTGGGTGGTCGGGGTCGCCGAAGGGCACGGCGATCCCCTGCAGGAGGTCCAGCTCCTCGATGGTGTCTGCGGAGGGAGGAGGAGGAGGAGGGAGGGTGAGTTTCGAGGTCGAGGTCGGGGTCGATAAGGATGATGATGATGATAGTAATAATAATAATGATAATAATTATAACGACAATAATACTACTAATACTAATAGTGATGATAATAATAATAATAATAATAATGATAAATATAATAATAATAATAACGATAATATTAATAATAATAATAACAATAATAAAATAATAATATAATAATAATAATAATAATAATAACAATAGATAATATAATAATAATAAATAAAAAAAAATAATAATAACAATAACAATGATAAATATAATAATAATAATAATAATAATAATAATAATAATAATAATGATTAATAAAACAATAATAATATTATAATAATAATAATAATTAATAAAATAATAATAATAATAGTAATAACGATAATAGTGACAATAATAATCATAAGAATAATGGAAATAATGATAATAAAAACAATAACAGTGTTGGGACCGGAACAGCGATGGACAAAAAATGTGAAAAAAAAAACATATATAACAACACGGATACTAGAAAAAAAAGTGTGGAGACGGGAACAGCGAGAGCCCAAAACACCATGTAAAAATACCTAACAATGGACCTTATGCATGTTAAGAGATGGACGAGAACGTAACAGAGAGAGACAGAGAGCTGGCGAAATTGGGTGACAGATGAGGTCAGAGAAATGACAAGCAACGAAAATGGAAAAGGAATGTATGTAGAGAGAAAGATAGATCAATTAACGAAAATGGAAAAGGAATGTATGTAGAGAGAAAGATAGATCCATTATAAGAAGAAAAAGAGTATGAAAGAGATTGAATATCATCATCAAAGCGAAAGAGATGTATATTATGGCTCTCGATACTTCTTATCTCCATTCGGGAAATATATCTGTGAAGTCATTCGTTCTCATTCCTACGTCTCCATTCTTCGTAATCAACATTATCCACCGGTTTATGATACTCTCGTTTTTGGATAAAATAATATAACTCCATTTTTTAAAAATAGACTTTCCCTTTAGAGTCCAGATAAATAGTGCAAAACAAGCAGACAAACTCACCCAACTCACAAATTACATCATTATATACTGCAAATTACTTTTTCATATATTATGAATTATATCATATTTCTCCCGAGTAGAAGAGAAACTGCCATAGTTCGATAAAAGACGCGATTCTCCTCCAGCTGAGAAATGGCCACTGGGAAAGGGACTGAACAAAACCTTTTTCTTAAACTGTCTGTTATTTCCGCCAATAACAATAACAAGACAAAAAAAGGTCTTTAAATAATGTTTCGTATTGGGGGGGGGGGGGTAAGCATGCAAGGAAATAAAAAAGAAGGTAAAAGAATAATACTTTTATCTGCGTTGTGAGATCCATTCAATAATGTATCTTTTATAGATCATATATTATCTTTATTACCGTAGATTCTAAGAAGCACTTACAATAAAATGTTTATCTTAATTACAATTAACTGGAAAATATCTTTTATGCAGAGAGAGAGAGAGAAAGAAAGAGAGACAGAATGAGAGAGAGAGAGAGAGAGAGTTTCTCAATTTACGACAAGAAGTAACCATTAGAGAGACAATAAAAATTAGGGCTCTAAGAAGGGGAAATAGAGAGAATCATAAAACCCATTACATCGTGCAGCCAAAGAAAAGGGGGATCCCACCGCTGCCACCATAAATATTAACTAGACGAACTCTTGCTGTTAAAAAAGAGAGAGAGAGAGAGAGAGAGAGAGAGAGAGAGAGAGAGAGAGAGAGAGAGAGAGAGAGAGAGAGCAATTGAGCAGGAAGTTTAAACAAAGTTGTAGTAGGGAGATTTCCAGAAGGGGGCAAGTTTTGGTCCTGAATTTTTGGATTTACTGAGGTGTTTTCTCCGTCCCTGCTACGAAAGGGGAGAGGCAAATGGAAGGAGAAAGCAAACAGGGTGGAAATGAATGGAAGCGAATCTGGACCCTAACGCACATAAGCACACATACATATATGATTGTGTGTGAGTGATTGAATATTGTCTGTGTTTTTACACACATTTATCTATATGCAAACATATGGATATATATGGATAAGTGTATTTCAGTTTCTATTTGTGCATAGAACTGTATCTGAAACATACACAAAAGTGTGGTGTGTGTGTGTGTGTGTGTGTGTGTGTGTGTGTGTGTGTGTGTGTGTGTGTGTGTGTGTGTGTGTTGTGTGTGTGTGTGTGTGTGTGTGTGTGTGTGTCATGTCCGTGTGTGTGTGTGTCCATGTCCGTGTGTGTGTGTGTCCGTGTCCGTGTGTGTGTCATGTGTCCATATCCATGTGTGTGTGTCCGTGTCCGTGTGTGTGTCCGTGTCCGTGTGTGTGTGTCCATATCCGTATGTGTCCCATGTGTGTCCGTGTGGTGTGTTTTTTGCCGTGTCCGTGCGTACGCCTCCACCATCTACCTTACAAGAAACCACACCCCCTTCCCCCCCCCCCCCCCGCGTGTTCCGTGGCTCGATCCTCCAAGGAAAAAAACACCCCCGCTAAGTTTGCTTGGACGGGAAAAAAATAAATAAAAGCGAGGAAACCACTAACGAGAAAAGAATTAGTGGAAACGACCGCGTGCTTCTGCAGAGGGACAAACAGAGGCGGAAAAGTTAAGGTGATTGCGACGACAGCCATGCGAGGAGGGGCTGGCTATGGGCGCTCTCAGCCTCGTTAATGAGGATGAGGGCGAGGGATAATGATGATGTTGATGATGTGATGATGATGAAATATTTTTTGATGATTTGATATTGACTATGAATGATCATGATGAATAATGATGATATTGATGATGATATTGAATAATGATGATATATTGAATAATGATGATGTAATGATGAACATGATATTGAATATTGAATAATGATGATATTGATGATAATGATGATGAAATATTTTTTTGATGATTGAATAATGATGATATTGATTGATGATATGATGATAATGAGATGATTGGAATAATGATGATATTGATGATGTTGATGATAATAAATATTTGATGATTGAGGAATATGATGATATTGATGATAATTGGATATTGAATAATGATGATAAGGATATTGAATAATGATGATGAATGATGATGAATATCTATTGGTGATTGGAATAATGATGATAATTGGATAAATGATGATATTGATGATGAATAATGATGATGAATGATGATAATGATGATATTGATGATAATGAAATATTTTTTGATGATTGGAATAATGATGATATTGATGATGTAATGATAATCAAATATTTGTTGATGATTATTATGATGGAAAGTTTTAGTGACAATAATAATGAGGAATATTAATGATATTGATGATATTAATGATGATGATGATGAAATATTTGATAGTTATTATGGGAGAAAGGTTTAGTGACAATAATGATGAAAATGAAATGATAATAACGAGAACAGCACTAATAACAATATCAATTATGCAATGATAATAATGATAACAGTAATAATAATGATAATGATGGTTATAGTGACAGTAACGATGATAATGATAGTTATAATAATGATGATAATAATAATTTTGATGAAATATGAATATGAAAAGGAATAACAAATCTATTGATAATAATGATGATGATTACAAAGATGAGAATCATGATAATATCTATAATAATGTTAAAGATAACAATGATAATATAAGAATAAACTAAATAGTACACCGTTTCGAACCGCACTCGAATCCTCATCAGGTCCACCTCTCCCCCATCCCTTCCTTTCTTCTTTCTTTCCTTTTTCTTCCCCATACCTTCCTTTCCTTATAATTTCCCTTATCTATTTCATCTCCCCCCCCCCTTTTTTCTCTCGAGCTTATTTACACTTCCTTTCATTAGCATAATCCTTAATAAGAGAGGCAGTCACCTGAGAGAGGAAGAAAAAGCCTTGACTGAAATGACTGATTCCTCAGGTTCAGTCAGGCGAAGGGAGATAATAGGGTGGATAGGGAGAAGGACGTGTTGGTTGTGACAGATCTTGGGGGGAGGGAGGGAGGGGGGGAAGTGGGGAGGGACGGAGGGGGGAGGGAGAGAGGGAGGGAGGGGGAAGTGGGAGGGAGGGAGGGTGGTAGGAAGGGGGAGGGAGGGAGGGAGAGAAGGGGCGGGGGTAAGGGAGGTTAGGAGAGAGAGAGAGGGGGAGGGAGGGGGAGAAGGGGTGGGTAGGGAGGGGAGAGAGGAGGAGGAGGAGGGAGAGAGAAGGAGGGTGGTAGGAAGGGAGAGAGGGGGTGGCAGGATGCGAGGAAGGGATAGAGGGTGAGGCCTGTGTTAGAGGGAGGGAGTGTTGGAGGGAAGAGAGGGGGTAGAGAGAGAAGAGCGAGAAGAGAGAGAGATAGAGAGAGAGAGAGAGAGAGAGAGAGAGAGAGAGAGAGAGAGAGAGAGAGAGAGAGAGAGAGAGAGAGAGAGAGAGAGAGAGAGAGAGAGAGAGAGAGAGAGAGCGACAGAAGGAAAGAAAGAGAGATAGAGATAGAGATAGAGATAGAGAAGAAAGAGCGAGAGAACGAAAGAAAAGAAACCAGTGAAATGAGAGATAAAGACGAAAAGCAAAACGAAAACGAGAAACAGGAAAACCAAAACCAAACCAAAAAAAGCAAAAAAAAAGCAAAAAAAAAAAAAGCCTTTAAAGAATGCAGATGTGCCATCCAGGTAGAATCCAGTGACCACAAATTTATCTCTCTTGTTTATCCTGTAGAAGGAAGGACCGACCCCCCCCCCCCCACACACCACAAACACACCACACACACACACACACACACACACACACACACACACTCTTCTCATCAATCTCTAAGTGCTTCTAGTTAGCATCATTATCAATATTATTATTATTATCATCATTATTGTTATTATCATAGAGATGAGAGATGAAAGATAGAGAGAGGGAAAGAGAGAAAAGAGAGAGAAGATGTGGATTTTGGACAAGGAAAACCAAACACAATTTTTTGAGAAAAAAAAAGAAAATGGG